CGGCGGTGATGGGGCCGGAGGGGGGAAGCGCGGTGATGGGGGGTGTAGGGCCCGGGTTGCCGCGGTGATGGGTACCATAGGACCAGGGTTACCATGGTGATGGGGGGTGTAGGACCGGGGTTACCATGGTGATGGGTACCATAGGACCGGGGTTACCATGGTGATGGGTACTGTAGGACTGGGGTTACCATGGCGATGGGTACTGAGGGACCGGGGTTACCATGGCGATGGGTACTGTAGGACCAGGGTTACCATGGTGAGGGGTACCATAGGACCGGGGTTACCATGGTGACAGGGAGCACAGGACTGGGGTTACCATGGCGATGGGTACCATAGCACCAGGGTTACCATGGCGATGGGGGCACAGGACTGGGGTTACCATGGTGACAGGGAGCGTAGGACCGGGGTTACCACGGCAACAGGAATGTGGAGGAGCGGGGGTAACCATGGGGATGAGGGACCTGGGTAACCATGGCAACAGGCGTGTGCGGGGGGGGGGGCGGTGACACGGGAGCGGGGTCACCGGGTGGGCAGGAGCAGGGTAACCATGGCAACAGGCACGGGCAGGACCACAGTAACCATGGCAACACGGGATGAGGGTGACCATGTGTGCGGGATGAAGGTAACCATGGCAACGTGGGCGCAGGAGCACGGTAACCACGGCAACGTCCATGTGCAGGACCGGGGTAACCAGGGGACACGCGTGTGCGGGACGGCGGTAACCACGGAGACATGGGAGCGGGGTAACCATGGCGACGCACGTGCGCGGGAGCAGGGTAACTGTGGCGACAGGCGTGTGGAGGGTGGGGTAACCATGGCAACAGGTGTGTGCGGGATGGGGTAACCATGGCAACACACGTGTGCAGGACGCAGTAACCATGACAACGTACGTGGGGAGGACCAGGGTAACCATGACAACACGCGTGTGCGGGATGGGGTAACCACGGCAACACACGTGTGCAGGATGCGGTAACCATGGCAACATACGTGTGCAGGACCAGGGTAACCACGACAACACGCGTGTGCGGGATGGGGTAACCATGGCAACACACGTGTGGAGGACCAGGGTAACCATGACAACACACACATGCAGGATGAGGTAACCATGACAACATACGTGTGCAGGGTGCAGTAACCATGGCAACATACATGTGCAGAACAAGGATAACCACGGCAACACGCGTGCGCGGGACAGCGTAACCATGACAACACATGTGTGCAGAGCCTGGGTAACCACGACGACTCGCATGTGCAGGATGGCGTAACCATGACAACACGCGTGTGCAGGACCAAGGTAACCACGACAACACGCGTGTGCGGGATGGGCGCAACCACGGTGACAGGTGTGTAACCACGGCAACAAGCAGGACCGACCCAACCACAAGCCCAGGGTGACCGTGGCGACAGACGTGTGCGGGACGGGGTAACCATGACAACAGGCGTGTGCAGGATGGGGTAACCATGACAACAGGCGTGTGCGCGATGAGGGTGACCATGACAACAGGCGTGTGCGGGATGGGGTAACCGTGGTGACAGGCGTGTGCGGGATGAGGTGACCGTGGTGACAGGCGTGTGCAGGATGGGGTGACCATGACAACAGCCGTGTGCGGGATGGGGTAACCATGACGACAGGCGTGTGCGGGATGAGGGTCACCGTGACAACAGGCGTGTGCGGGCCAGGGTAACCGTGGCGACAGGTGTGTGCGGGATGGGGTAACCATGATGACAGGCGTGTGTGGATGAGGGTGACCATAACGACAGGCGTGTGTGGGATGGGGTAACCATGACGACAGGCGTGTGCGGGATGAGGGT